CTGTTACTTCTATCAAGTATTTTTCACGACGGCTGGGACCATGTTGGGGCCATATTCTGAATTGATTTTTAGGGTTTCGTACCGAAAGGGTAAAACGGGAACCCTATTACTAAAATACTGTTTGTCTGTCAACAGGCTCACATATGATCAAATTTTCACATATGATGTATTACTGTTGGCGCTTCAACAACAAGTTAAAAGACCAAATTAAAATAAATATTTAAGGGGACTCCCATACAACAAACATGATTATTTGGCTCGTTTTCGGTATGTAACCCTTCATGCGCGAATCCGACTCGCACTTGACCGTTTTTAGCACACGTACTTTAAAAGCTATTAGGCTTTCTTACGCAGTACACCTTTATATTGAATGACCCAGCACTTATTAACTAAGCTATATGGTCCTTCGAGCCGGATATGACCAACTGGATGACTTGAGTATGTCTTCTTAAAAATCACAGCGAATGTATCTATTAACCAATAAGCTAAAATATAAAACGTATTTTACTTCTTAATTCATTTTTGGAAGAATAATGAAAATCATGATTTAAATCATGTACCTACTGTTTTTAGGCTGGACAAACGCCTTGAAGAATTTCAACAGCAATTGTGCTCCACTTACATACAATTGTATTATAATAATACATAACTCTGTGATTTCTTTAATCTATAAACTATTGTTTAAGAAACGTTTTGATTTTCATTTGAGGCTCCGTTGTGTCTACGAGACATCATTTGTTATTGGAAAGTACTTATCAAAGCCTTTAATGTCATATCCATATTGCAACAAATAAAAAAGAAGGAATTCTCGTCTTCGAATATATCATAGGTATCTAATACAAGACACAAAAGTGAAAGTAAACCAATACCTAAGAGTGCTACCTATATCGAAGTCCTAACAAGTTTGCAACAGTGTATCTATGTAAGTACAGTCAACTTTCTTCTAGTCAGGTAGCTTTCGGTTATATGGCAACCTAGATTTCAATACATAGGAAGGTAATACCTATCATGTTTTTTGAAGTCTGTACCAATTTCAGATTTATCGTCAAATAAAAACGAAAAGTTATACTAAACCGCCTAAATATAAAATGTTGCAGAACATAAGATGAAACATAATGTCAAAAAGAGGTAAGATATCTTGGGTGTAAGAAATTTTGATACAAATAATGAAGAATATAATTTGTATATTGCATTCTGAAAAATATCATTTACTATAAATGTTGCATAATGTCGCTTGTTCATATTATCCCAGAATTGAAAAAACAAGCTTGAATTGTATTCGTGATCTATTTACCTATGTGTAAACAGTAATCGCAATTCGGATAACAGCTACTAAAAAAAAAATTAGACATCACATACATCGAGTAGCTAAAATCCCCGTTTCATGGAGTATCTGAGCCAACGAAAGTACCTCAACACCCAGACCCGAGACAATTTAGAAAAGTCCATTTTCTATATTGACCCGACCGGTTATCGAATCAGAGATCTCAGAACAATTGACACTAAAAAGAAACCAACTTTATAGAATCGTATACCTATTAGTCCGACCAACGGGTGTTTATCTAATGATCAAAGTGTGGATAAATTGGTATCAAATGTTCGTAATAAAGAGCTAGTGAGTAATATTAATGCCATATCTGATCCTAGTGTCACCGATATATCTCAAAACCAAAGTTAAGGCTTGGTTAAACAAGAATGGACGGAAGTCAAACGGAGGCGAGTTCGAACGCCAATACCGGGATTACTGCGTGGTACTGCTAATCCTGAAACTACTGTACTACGGGCAGCAGAAAGAATGCGTTTTCTTCATCTCTATTATGTTCAAGTCGGGACTACAGAGGAACAGGTGCGTGCTCATTTAGCGACGCTATGTGAAGAGAATGTATGTTCCGTGGAAACACTAAAAGCTCGCGGCAATTACGCTTCTTTCAAGTTGGGAGTACCTACCTATCAAACTAGCTGACAAAGTTATTTCCCCTACTAATTGGCCTAAAGACATTCTTTTAAAAGCGTGGCGTCAGAACTTTCGTTCCAAACAAGAAAAAATATAAAAAATGTCAACAATCTAAAAAGTTAAATTGTTACTATCAGAACATGGGTTGCGCTCAAAAACCTCCATGTTTTATAACAATGTTTGTCAAAGTCAATATGATGTTATTGCTTTAACAGAAACGTTTTTAACAAGTTCCGTATGCGACGGTGAACTATATCCCGCGGGTTACTTTGTAGTTCGTAAGGACCGTATGGGTGACAAAGGGTGGAGAGGTGTCCTGATAGCAATACGTGTATGCTATTCGGTTAATGTTTTTAGTAATATTGATGACTTAACGGCGGACAAGGAGGACATGCATGGAGAATATAATTTGTAGTTATTCTGATTTACAAGTTCTTGTACTTGATTTTAATTTGAATTCATTTAGCGCTAATATTAAAACAGAATTTGAAAATTTTTGTGAATTCTGCAAATTAGTAGAGCATAACAATGTTCTAAACAATCAAGGTTCTATGATCAATCAATCAATCAATCAATGTTTTACGATGTTGGATCGTGTGTTGAGCAATGTTGTTCTCACTGAGGTATCGGTGTCTCTCAATACTGAGCCTTTTGTGCCTATTGACAAATATCATCCGACCCTTGATATATCAATAAATTTAAATAATCGTTTTGCTCCACCGCCACAGTCTGCACACATACACATTGAACGCCCTGAAACCGTTCTCAACTGGAACTGGCGCAAAGCAAACTTTGTGGCACTGTACGATTCCATCACTGATTTCGATTGGACTGATGTACGGAACTGTAATCATGTTGACTCAGCCTTGGATGCATTTTATTCGAAGCTGTACCAATGTATTGACTTGTTTGTGCCATATAAAAATAGAATATGCCGTAATACAAAATTTATTTATCCAAAGTGGTTCACAGAAGAAATTAAAATCAACATAAAATTTAAGCACTTTCCCCTAAAAAAATTTAAAGCTGAGGGTACATTATTTAACATGGATAGTTCCATGTTAAATAATGTACCCTCAAATTTAAATATTATAGATGGCATACTAAAAAGTTAATAAACACTGCCTATCGGCGGCATATACAAAGTATACAGGTCAATATAATTGACGAACCAGTAAAGTTTTGGGAATACGTAAAAGATAAGCGCAAACAGAGACGTATTATTGACTCTTTTACATTTGAGGACGAAGTAGTAGTCGGGCAATCAGCTGCTGATGCGTTTTCACGGTATTTTGGTTCCGTATTTTCAAATGTGACACCACGTCTTAACCCAGAAGAGGCAGCTTATGTAGGTTATTCGGATGGTGATGCGAAAACCATTACCATTCCAACAACAGACATGGTGGATCTAAAGCGTGCTATGAAACGTCTAAAGTCGAAATCGGACGGTATTCCTGTGTTTTTAGCTAAGGACTGAATGTTGGTTTTAAGTATGCCCTTGTTATTTATCTACAATCTCTCTTTACAAAAGTCGACATATCCTAAGCAATGGAAACTTTCCTGTGTCACGCTTATTCCTAAGGGAGAACCTGGACAGGACGTCACGACCTAGACAGGAAGGTGTTTGAATCAATATTAAACACCTACATTAACTAACAAATCAGAAGCCTTTTACATAATAGTCAACACGGCTTCCGCAGTGCGCGTTCGACCACCAATAACTTAATAACACTTACCGATTACGTTTACGAACAGATGGACTCGGGAAGACAAGTGGATGCGTCGTACTTCGACCTCAAAAAAAATTTCGACCTGGTAGCTAACGACATATTGCTACAAAAAATGGAAAAGGCAGGTTTCATCCCAAAACCTCTAAGATTTTCAATTATACAAAGACAAGACATACCGCAATTCAGGCAGCTACAGAGCCATCTATTGAAAATGAGAGTAAACAATGTATTTATTTGACTGCGAATGTTTAGTACGTTAAATAACGTAGTTATTTTAGTCCTGAAGATCACGTGATAGATTAGATTTTTTAAAATAAATGGCAAAACTAAATGAACGTCTAAAAAGCCAACTAGAAATCTAAGCGTGCAATTTAATGGTGCCATTAAATTAAATGGCTAGCCGCCCAATTGAACGGCTGTTTTAAACAGGTGACTACGACATATCCACATTAACCTGAAAAGCATCGAATTTGATTTGATTGTGAGTGCATACTTACTGATTTGATTTTCGGAATTTTTATATGTAAAAATTTTAAGGGGAAATAAAGTAAAAAGTTAATAAATACAGACTGATTTCTTTAAATTTGCTTTAAACTATGTTATATTCAAGGGTTTCTTAAATGTTCGCAATCCTTCCCATAAATGAATATGTAACACCACATTATATTGAAAAAAAAAAGAAATTAGATTTGTGTGAGAGAAAAGTATTTCTATTGTAATTCTATATCTACTTGGTAACTTGTATTTTTTATAATACGGTATGAAATAATAAGAATAACGGTTATGAATTCACCTTTTTTTTATATACTTTATAGGTTAATGCTTGACTACGATCCCACATGATGGTAATATAACACCTGTTAATATAACACAAACATTCTTTCAAACTCTTTGTTTAACTTTGTTTTCCCGACATTTGGTTTTTCATAATCATTATATTTTATGGTGGAAAGCAAGGCTTTAAGGAACGATGTTTCATAAAAACACATTTAAGATTTCGAATTAAAAACCATTATTATTATTAGTTTTTGTATTAAAAACCATTATTAACTGTATTACATTTTTTTTTTTTTTTATTTAGTATCTAAATTACAAAGAAGCTCTATCGGTCTGTAATCAATAATGCCTAACCCTAACGTTGAGCTTTTGCTTTACCCATCTCTTTCTGTTCGCATATTCACTCTCTCGCTCACCCTTGTATTAGTTCAGTGACGGTTGTTTCCGGTTTTCCGAATACAAGTGAAGTGATTGGTGAATAGCGGCATTATTTGCACCCGTATTATAAACAAAAAATCCTTGTACATATTTATTGAAAAATGTCTAAAGTAGCTAACGTTAATTCCAGCTTGGCGTATGAAATACTCCTTTATTTAAACAGTTTTTATTTAGGCATGTTTTTCGTGTGTGAAGTAGCGATGGGAATATTAAAGGCGATTAATGTCTCTTACCCGGAGAACGCTTTATTGACTGAAGCGGGAATATTTTCTGCACTTTGTCTAGTTGAAGTAATTCGCATATTCCTAGGACGCAGAGGAAATTTAGCTAGTAAAAGTAAGAATTTAAGTATGTTCTGTGATTTGTTAAAAATCTTAAAATAATTAGTCAAGTTTGAATTGTATATGAAGTAATATGTAACATGCTTCATTAATTTGTTTCAGAAATTCCTGTATTCTTCTCTGTAGTACTAACCATACCGTCAGCAGTAGGGGTATGCTATTTCCTCATATACCAAACATACATTCTACGCTTGGAATATATTTGGTGTGCAGTGATGCTGATGTTCCATGCCCTCGAACTAGCATTTGCTATCCTGTTCATTTTTACAGTGTGCAAAAATCAACAGTTTGATTAGTTCAAGCCTAAAAGTACCTCATTGCCAAAGAGATACTGAAGCCAAAGTGTAAAGTCTGAACACTTAGCGTTAAGTATATTGACTCACTAATTTGCTTAAGAGTGCTGTATATGCATTTATCAAAAAAATCCAGTTCCTTTCAATTATAATATAACATAGTTGTTAAGAATTTTCCAGTACCTCTAAGGTTTTAGCACAGTAGCATGTAAATTTATATAGTCTCTTCTATATTATTGGATTAACTAAAGACTGCTAATAAATATATTTATCTAAATTGTAAATAAACTTATTGTAGATCACAATAATAATAGTACTGTAAACAGTTAACGACCAAATAGTTTCATTCTAATTCTTTGTATTCATTGTCTTGTAAGAATATTAAGTTTTATGATTTTCATAGCCTGAAAACTATAAATTTAATAATTTTGAAGCTCTGCTTTATTATTATTTCTTAGCCATTTAATGCATAGCTGAACTATCTAATGTAAACTACATCAAGGCTTAAAAAGCCACCCCATGTTTTGCTTTCTGTAAACAATTTAAAAGTAAAGTGAGAATAAAAGATTTTATTATAATATTTTTTTATTTCTACTGCAATTATTCTATTAAATATTACAAATCTCTTTTTAAATATCTTTCCCTGAAGTAGTAATGTAATCTGGCATCTTGACACATTCCACTTTGGTAACTTTGAGAGCACAACCCTCTGGAAGATTTCTTTCAATATATTCTAGATATGTGTCACATGTTGATCCTGTGAGCCTCTGTAAGTGTATAAATCTGAAGTATGTACGTATTTCATACTGGACTTTATGCTTCTTGTAAATATGGACACATCTGAGTAGAGTGTGTCTTTCCTTTTCAGCTTTTCTTAATGCCCAACTGAAAAGTAAAGATTTCTTTTAAAAAAATAACTATATACTTTATTACACATAACACATGTTATACCTAATTTACAGGAAAATTAGAAAATCAAGGAACATGTTTAGGTACTGAAACTCTTATTACTTATCTGCAATTTTTTTCAGGTAAGTTATGAATGTTATGATGATTGATATATACATAAAAATGGAGAAACAAAGATATATGATTTCTATATTTATTTAGTGATTAAAAAGTGCAAGACCGGGAGAACACCTGTTTGGTTAAATGTAATATAATAATAGTATATCACATATGTTAATAGTTTCAAGATCTATAGTAGCAAGTAAATTCAGACTTTACTGGCAATTTTCAACAAGTGTATTTTCTTGATATTTTGTGCACTTACTTTTTCGTCACTTCAATGCCTAAGTGAGATGCAGCCGCAACACAGAACCATGAGTAACTAAGCAACACTGCCGGGTCAATACCTCTCATTTCCAACTCAACTCGTTTGAATAATTTATCTAGTTCTATTGCAGGTGACGGTAAGTTCTCCATATTTGTTTGAGGCACGATAGCTGAGAGTGGTCGTAAGTGTGCATACTTGGTAGTAATTGCAGAACGCAAAGGTATTGAACGAAGACAGCCCTGTGAAATTCAGTAAACTGCTTAAAAACATCAAAATACTATTTATTTAAAATATTATTTGACAGCGATGCCTTTTTGACAAAAAGAAATTTGAACAAATTAAAACCATTAACTACCCTAATCACGTTCATGTTCTCTTTCAAATAGTATATCTTTGTTAGTTATCTACGAAAACATGGATAAACATTCCTTTTCCCAATCACAATTTATTTATTTTTCTATTTTAGCAGTAATAGCAGAGAATCCTATTTTACTTTTTTTAGGTTATGTTTACTAGGAGTGAGACGTATTTACTGGAATAAGTCTTTGGAATAAGTTTTTGCTTGGACGTCTAAATACTAAGTATCGAATAAGCAATCAACGCGTATCGAGTATTTAGAAGTATTTACTCACACAAATCCCGAGACGCGAAGACGCGGACGCAGACTCAAGACGTCCAACACGTTTTGAGTATTTAGAAGTCTTGTACTCATACAAACTCGGACTCTCCGAGACGCGAAGACGCGAACGCGCTCGATCTTAGTGTGAGTGAATGAATTCCTATTCCTAGGGTCAACCTTAACGTTATGTGATAAAATTGCTTTTTGTTTACACAGTAATTACAAACTCGGCTCTCCGAGACGCGAAGACGCGGACGCGTTCGATCTTAGTGTGAGTTAATTAATTGCTATTCCTAGGTTCAACCTTAACGTTATGTGATAAAATTGCTTTTTGTTTACACAGTAATTACAAACTCTGCTCTCCGAGACGCGAAGCGTGGACGCGTTCGATCTTAGTGTGAGTGAATAAATTCCTATTCCTATGGTCAATCTTAACGTTATGTGATAAAATTGCTTTTTGTTTACACAGTAATTAGGTAAACGTCCGACGCCGTCACGTGTTAAATGTAAATAAAGTCTATAATCTTGCTTCTAGCTTGGATCTTTGTCGTGTATTTGATTAACTACATCAGTCGTTTCGGCATTTCGTATTGTTTACCATTGTAAAAAGTAGTACTTAATAGATGCTTACACGTAATAATAAAAATAATTTTTATGGTGTTGGGGTGTTTGGACTAATATATTTATTTAATTTATTGAGTGAATTATCAAAAAACGGAACTTTAGCCATACAATTTATTTATGATAATATTCAAAACCTTAATAAATAAATCACAAAAGTTTATATAAATCGTATAAAAATGAGGTAATACCGCGATTCATACTCGTATAGCACCATCTGTTGTCTCAAATTGGAATCAATTTATCTAATTATACAATGTACTAATTAACTTATATTGTTATGTTGTATTTATTGTTTATTATTATGCATTATATTTATTTATCGTATACCTATTTTATATATGTTGAGCATAAATACTCTATGGGTCAGTCCATAAAAATTAACTATTACCGTACTAATATTGAATAACTCAATGAATTGTTAAAATAACTTTTTATATGTAAATGAAATTAATTTATATCAACAAGTAAAACTCTTAACACAGCTATTCACACAAAATAATAACACCATTTATTAGAAACTAATGTGAACAAAATGTATGTTAACATTTGAGAAATGTGTCTTTCCACTTTAACTGCTGTTTAAGATGTTTTGTTTTTTTACTTTGATTAATTTAATTCGCTACTTTATTTTTTGCTTGCTAAGGTTGACATTAACAATAACAACCAATGTATAATAATTATTTGCCGAGCCAATATATGTGGTTACAAATGTAATCGAAAAGATAGTAGGATAGGTATAGATAGCGCAAACCACAAAGAATCACATTAAATTTTTCTTACTAAATGCTTGTGTAATCATCAGTTTCCTTTGCCGTCAAAGTAAATGAAACAGTCAAAAATTTTATTATATGAATCACAAAAATTTATATAAATCGTATAGAAATGAGATCATACCGCGATTCATACTGGCGTAGCACCATCTGTTATCTCAAATTGGAACCAATTTATTTAATTATACAATTTACTAATTATCTTATATTTATTATATATCATTATGCAATATATCTATTTATTTATCATATATTTTATTTATTTTGAGCATGAATTCTGTTTGGGTCAGTCCAAAACTACAACAGTACTAATATTTAATAACTTGTAGTAAAAAAAACGTTTTATATCTAAATGAAATTAACTTATATCAACAAGCAAAACTCATTATAACACCATTTTTTAAAAACGAATGAAAATAATGTTAACGTTTTAGAAATGTGTCTTTCCACTTTAACTGCTTTAGATGTTTTTGTTTTTATTTTTTACTTTGATAATTTTAATAAAATTCTCTACTTTGTTTTTTGTTAACTAAGCTTGATACAAATAATAACAACCAATGGATAATTATTGTACCGAGCCAATTTATGTGTTTTCAAATGTTACCCAAAACATAGTAGGGTAGCTATAGATAGTGCGATCCACAAAGTGTCACATTCGATTTTTAGTGCTAATAATTTTTTGGCTTGTGCAATCGTCAGGTTTATTTTTTTCCCGTCAAAGTATTCATTCATGTGCAATTCCCAATCTACAATGACTTCGGATCATACCTCAAGCAGTCGCAATGTCTTGGGACAAAATTTGTGTCAATAGTCTTAAAAACGCATACTTCTAAATACTCGTGGAATAGGTTTACGGAATAAGTATTTCAGCGTACTCGTACTTGCAAGACTTAGTACGCGTTTAACCTAGTACGTCTCATCTCTAATGTTTACTAGTAGTAGTAGTTTCGTCCATGGAACAGGCGAAGGAACTAAGCCATACTGCCAAATCTTGGGTTTATGTTTACTAGTTTGTAGTTGCATTGAGTTGCATCCTCGGGACAGGCGAAGGAATTCTTTATTGTAGGTATTTTTTTATAATCTTTTTTTCTTGTCTTCTTTTTTTTTCTCTTAATAGAATGTGGGAGTATTTTAAGTATAATAAAAAAAGCGCTCAATAAGCACTTCACTAGATGGCGACTCTGGCAAAAGTTGATTTTTGCAGGAAACGAATGGACCAAAGACAGTCATTTCCGTTCCTTTTAACTAACATATTAAAAAACTGAAATTTGAAAAGTTCGAAACTTAGATATCAATACAAATACGAGAAAGCACAAATAGAATATGAGTTATTTATTGAATTTGAAAACTAATTTACTTTTAAACTTAAAGAACACAGGAAAGGAAAGGTCATGGAGAAATCAAGAATCAAGACATGTAGTTTAATTTCGGAAACTAATGTTTTTTTTAAATACTTCCTCATTGAGTGTTAAATATTTCTTTTGTTTTTTTTTATTAACAAATTGAGAATCTTTTTTTTGAAATCGATTAATGATGTACATACACAACAAAACTGACAGCCTCCTTTTTTGAAGATCATTAAAAAGAAGGTTCTAAAGTTTAGCTTCTTTCATAAGTAGCATAAATTTCAATAGTTTATATCTTCAAAACTATATATATCTTTAATTGACACTTAGACCCCACAATTTGTGCTGCCATTTAGTGACATATTTTTTTGTAGTTTCTTTTTAAATACTCCCATAAGGAAAATTAATACAGTGGGTATATAAATACCCACTGTCTTAATTTTCCTTTTGGTCTGTGACTATGATACTGCTCTTTGCATTGACATATCAACCCAATTTAAAAATATGGCTGTATGGCTTAGTTCCTTCGCCTGTCCCATGACAACTATTACTGCCAATAAAAACACCCCGTTTTATTTTTTTTTATGAACAAATGTGGAACAAATTATTGTTTATTGTTGAAGTACATAATATTTACAATTAAATTCTTTGGTTTGCACGTAAGCTGGGTATTTGAAAAGTAGGTAAAATAATTTTCCAAAAATGTCTGACTCAAACGGTGCACGCCGGTGTCGAATTCAAGATTCTAGAGAATTGGATCAAAATAAAAAACTAAAAAGCTTTGAAAAGACAAGAGTAGAGTTCGTGCCCACATCGTGCAGAATTTGTCTTAAAGATGGTGATATTCCAATTTTTGGTGACGAAAATCATGATACTGCTGAGGCTATATGCATTCTGACAGGTGTTAAAATTAAAGATGATGATGAATTTCCTAAATTTCTTTGTCACTCCTGCAATGACCAATTGCAAAGTGCATTAACGTTTAGACAGATCGCTCAAAAAACTGATATATTAATAAAAGAAGTAGTTGACATTTCTACTCCTAAGGAGACCTCTGATGTTGATGAAGCATTGAAAAAAGGTATATTATCTAAGAAGTATTATCAAAAATTTGGATTCAAAGAGACATTAGAAGATGAATACACTACATTTCACTGTATCAAATGTGATATAGATTTTGTAAATTCTAGAGTATATGCTAAGCACATGTTCACAATAGAACATAAGGATATCAGTGATATGTGTCCCTTTTGCTGTCGTCAATTTAAATGTATTGTTACACATTTAGCTTTACATAAAAGGAACAAAACACATCAATGTGATGTTTGTGGACAAAAGTTTATGGACCCTTCATATACCCATCACCGTGAGAGCCATTTTGATAAATTGCCATTTGAATGCCAGGAATGTCCATACAAAGCTCGTTTCAGTGGTGATTTCAAAATACATATGCGCACCCATACTGGTGAACGACCTTATGAATGCAAAGAATGTTCACGTCGGTTCATAAGTAAAAGTAATCTTAACAGGCATACCTCTACTCACAATAAAGATTACAATTTCGAGTGTAACTTTTGTCACAAAGGTTTCTTTACTCAACAAAAATTAGATGAGCATATGACTCTCCATATTGGTGAAAAGGCTCATAAATGCATAATTTGTAATAAGAGTTTTGTATACCACAAATCACTGATGCGTCATACTTTACAAGTGCATAAAAGGGGAAAACTAAGAAGTGGAAGAACACCAAACTATTTGAAAACTAACAAAGATGATGGTCCTAGTGAAGATTATTTAATAGTTACTTAGATAGAAATTATCACTTGTTGTTAATTATTAAGAATATATTTATTATGTTAAAAATTTTTAATTTATTTTTATCAATGGTTGTTTTTTTTTAAATATTGAATTATTTATTAAAACTAGAATGTGGTTTAATAAATAACTTTCTATTTATTTTAAGAAGGTACCCATAACACTGAGATCAAAGCTAAAAATATACAGTTTATTCTAAAAATTTTATATGTAAAAGTTAGGTGTGTGAACAAAGAAAATACAGTTTTGAGAAAGTGTATATTTTATTTCAGATCTTGAAATTTAGGTACAATATAACATTATCTAAATGGCTATATCATTTTCTATTTAATAGGAAAATAAATTAATAAATAAATATATATTAATAAAATCAGTACAGTAAAACATATTGATTTTACTTGTAAAATGATTCCAAAATATCACATGATATCAATTAAAATAAACTACACTTTAACTCATAGTATAAATAATATATTGTGATCAAAATTAAAATAGAAATAGTATAAATGCCATTCTTATAGTAAAGCAAATATTTTTGATATTTAAAAGTCCCTACACAAATTACAATCTAATTATAAACTACTGCTTGTTACATTAAAACAATGAAAGTTTATTTTTTATTGTAGTACCTTTATAATACTCATAGCATTTGATTCTCAGCCATTTCTCTTCTACGTCTTTCAGACTCAAGAGTCAAATAAACAGGTACACGACCACCCCTCAACTTTTCTCTTTTATGAACTTTCAATTGATGCTTAAGCATTTGCCGTCTATAACCGAATGCTTTGCCACAGAGGTGACAGACATGGTCCTTGACACCAGTGTGGTCCACTTTTAAATGCAATTCAAATTCACGTTTAGTGTAAAAGCCTCTATCACATACATCACATTTGAAGTCCCTCTCTTCTTTATGTATAAGTATATGCCTTGTCAAGTTGCCTTTGTTCACAAATCGTGCTGGACATTCTGCACACTGATAGGGCTTCTCTCCAGTATGAGTTCTCATGTGCATTTTTAAACATTCATTAAATCTTCCACGGTACGGGCAAAGTGAACACTGAAAAGGTAAATCATCAATATGTGTTGCTCGATGACGACTAAATTGCCCTTGCATTCTGAACTTCTTACCACAAAAATCACACATGTAAGGTTTCTCTTGACCATGCAGTTTCATGTGATTTCTAAATGACGAGTGCATAAAGGATTTATTACAGATCGGACAGGTCTGTCTAAAATTTTCATGTTCATCAGACAATCTATGAGCCTGGTAGTCTTCAAATCCCTTGAAATCTAAATCACATCTTTTACAACGCCATTTCCTTTCCTTTTTCACTTTTTTATTTTTATACTCGTATGGTTCATCATCGTCCATTTCTACAGAGCCATTTGTATTGTCATCATCTAGCGACGGTTCTATTGGGTCTATAGTTTCTTCTTCAGGATTTCGTAACAATTGATCTGTTTTTTGAGCAGTTTTTCGAAATGAAATTGCATTAAGAAGTTGCGTATAACAACTGGAACAGAGATATTTTGGATATGCATCCTTGTCTTCGAGTTCTATACCTCCAAAATCTCTTAGAGATTCTGACACATCTTCCACGAGATTATTGCCGAATATCGGAATGTTACCTTCGTTCATACAAACTCTACAAGATCTGGTTTCTTCTTCCACTTTGGTCTCGTTTTTATCATCAGCGTCTGAAGACGAATCATCTACCGCTTTGATGTTTGTCGATCGTTTTTTCCCTCTTCTAGTTGATATTTGTTTACAATGCAACATTTTAAATATTAACAGAGGTCCCATTATTAAATCCTTACTTTTATAAGATATTCATCCAATTTAGACCAAATTTACCATAGAACAATTTACTTGTTTTACAACAATCAGCTTTTTAATGTGTCCGTGTAAGTAGTAGTTTTTTTGTGTACCTCACAGAATAATACTGCTGTCAGTCTTAATGATAGGGATAACGACACAATACAAGTACTTACTCGCAGTGTTGCCAACAGTTGAATTAGCTCTCCACTAGATTCTACTTTAAAAACCACCAGAAAACCACTAACAAATATGTCACTACATTCATACTCGCTAAATTTTTCGCTAAGAGAAATTTGTTTTATGAAAGAAAATAATAAGTGTCTATAATATTAGTTTCCTTTATTATTACGCCACAAAAATTAACAATCAGTAAACAAAATATAGTAAACCAACACAATTTATTCAATAATAACTATTCTAAATTAATTCGTCTTCTTCAGACGAATCATTTTTGCTTGCACCATAATCTTCCATTTCAGATTGATATGATTCTTTGGTACCGATTTGTTTGACAACGGCTTCTGGAATTTTATAATCATTGCAGCATTTTTCTTCCAACCTCAAACAACAACGTATTCTCAAAATAGCAGATAAAAGATTTAACTTCATTCTATTTCTCTCCTTGTTCTTTATTACATTCATGCTGCTAAATAGTCTCTCAACATCGGCATTAGAATGAGGTAGTATTAGGAGAGTAATCGCAAAAGTCGCCAATTCCTTAAACCTCGGTTCTCCTTGAGTGTCTTTGAATTGCAATACTTCCATCCAAAACTTTCTTGTGTTTCTAGTTTCATTCCATTTTAATAAATGAATTTGATGCCACTGATCATCGACTCTCGCTATATGTTCTGCACTTTTATTGAACTGAGCCATTATGTCAATTAGTGCTTCTTTATTGTGATTAAGTGCTTGTTCAACACTTATTCGGGAAATGTTTTTCATTAGTGTCAAATTTTCTGGTAACCTATTCTTTATTTCTTCAATTAGACTGACTATAAATGTTATGCACCGATGCCGCATCATTTCTTCGTCTTCCCTTGGTAACCCTTTTTCTCTCATTTCAATTATTTGTTTTTCAAATCTGAATCCAAGATAACATTTTTGATCCAAAAAACCACGAATATTTTGATTAAAAATATTAACTTTATTTGTAGGTAATGTTACCTTGCAGACAAGCATATCTATCAGGTTAGTTAACTTTTCATACAATTTGATATGGTCCGTATCTTTTGACTCGAACATTTTATTAACTCTGTTTATCTCAATTAATATTGGATATAAAAAAGAAATATATGCGTAGTTCATCTCATTCGCATATAAAGAGTGCAATAACTTGGCCGTGTGACATCTTTCGTGCACCTTAGCTATTGCAAAATGAGTTTTTAACTCGAGCCATTGCGTGTATACTCTTGATACAGCAGATTCAATTGACAACCACCTCGTTTGGCATGCTTGAACAATTTTTAACGGTTTCTGACCGTCGTTAATGGTTTTGTATAATTCTTTATACAGCAACTGTCTGGATGTCGAGCGGCTAAACCAATCATATGTCTCTCTAATTATAAATTCCAAATTTCTCGGCAAAAATTCTTTTGCTGCAGCAGAAACAGCCAATTGCAAGGAATGACACAAGCAACGCACCAAAATCAGATGTGGTATCTCTTCCTTCAATTTGATATAGACTCCATTATTTACTCCAACCATCACAGAAGCGTTATCTGTACCAAGTCCCATTAAATTTTCCAATCGGAGATCGAATCGTTTTAGCGTCTTCTTTATAGCAGAAACAATACCTTCAGGATTAAACTCATGCAGTTCAGCAAGGTGAGTAGATAGGTAGATACGTGGAAACGAATTTTTGGTATAATTCACTAAAATAAATTACAATTAAACCTAAGTATTTCTGCACAGCAATATCTGTGGATTCATCAATTAATAAGCTAAATGGTTGATCTTTAAGATCTTGTTTGAGGACCTCAGTGAAATGTAATGCTAACACATTTTTTATAATCGAGGCGCATTTAGTTCGGTGCAGTTGAACTTTTTTAATATCTTTTTCATGACTGTGATTAATAACCTCTCCTAAATGGTCTATGACACGTATGCTAGTATGCATGGTGGTGAATAGTGCGAGTCTGGCTTCATCCTTTTTTTTACTTTCAATGGGCTCTGTCTTGAATGGGATTTTGGGCTGAGTAATTATAAGCTGAAACAATTTATTTGTTAAAAAGAAATCAAAATAAAACCATAAACAGTAAAACCTGAATACACGAAACAAAATCCAAAGCATTAAATTAGTAATTAATAATTAGGTTAGTTTTATTCTTTTTTAAATTTTTAAATTGACGACCTCCGTAGCCGAGTGGTTCGCACGCCGGTTTCAAGGTGTCGCCATCTCTGAGGTCCCGGGTTCGATTCCCGGTCGGGTCAATGTAGAAAATGAACTTTTCTATATTGACTCGGGTCTGGGTGTTGTACCTTCGTTGTCTCAGATACTCCATAATACGGGGGCTTTAGCTTACTCATCTTGGAATCTGAGCAATGTATGTGATGTTGATAAATATTTATTTATTTATTTTTTAAATGTAAAACCCTTCTTTCGTAGTCAGGTGAAAACCGACATATGAATGAGTAATCAATAAAAGCGGTTGTTTACCTTCTTATTTTGTAGATGCTTCTTTGACATCCCATGAGTCTTTAAGTCTCCGTAGTGACTCCTTAAAGTTGTACCACAAAATTTACATTTTGCTACTCGACCCGTAGTACTTTCAATAGCTTGTAGCCAATCTTTTAAATGTGGGTCTTGAAGCCAAGAATCCCGAAATTGTTGCTTATATTGTGGTTTCGACATAGTTGCGTATGAATAAATTCGTGATGATAACACAAAAAACATGACAACTTACTGAGCTGCACGAAGCATTTCAATGAATGAGTTCACTGAAAAATAATGTACGGGGAATCCCCGCCTACAAAGAAACATCGTCTTTTTAGTGGATAAGTGTTGCCTGTATATGAACGTAAATACCATTTAAAATTTAAAACACGAGATCAAAGAAGTCCATAATCTATATTATAGATTTAATATCTATAATATAGATTATGGACTTCTTGACTTGAAATATGAAAGTAACTTAGCGGATGAGTGATCGCAGTTAAAGTAATGGAAACTAAATTTTTATAAGCCACTAGAAAAATCCACCAGCCACTAAAACCATTATTTCGCCACTAAATGAAGGATTAAAACCACCAGTTTTAGTGGAAAATCCACTAAGCTGGCAACACTGCTTACTCGATACTTTAGGACCGAGTAACAAGTCGGAGTATCATGAAGTATTCGTACGATACTCGGTCATTCACTCACATGAGCTATCAAAAAACTAGCGATGAGTCGTTATTCATTTTTTACATCACATAACGTAACCGCTATCAGATCGCCAATCACAGTTCAAAACCATCTATTTTTGATAATTAGTTATCTCTACAACGCTTCAAAGTCAAAGCGAATCTTACTGTTATACAAACGCGATAAAACTCAATTTTGGGTTGGTTACTTGATCACTCTGAAAGGCGATATTGTATCACTGAATCACTAGTGATCCCGGTTCAGGCAAATCACTAGTTGAATAACTATCTATCGCGAATAGCGTTGCCAGGGACGTCCCGATGTTTCGGGACGTGTTCCTAGTCCCGATTTGCACTTAATCGGGACGCTAAATATCCCGAAAAATCGAAGACTAGGTATTAAAACTATTAATGACTACTAAAAAATAATAAATTCTTTAAGTCGGTTAAAAATTCAATTTTTGTTTGTTCCGATTTACAATCCTAAAATCCGATTACCTTATGTCCCGATTTAAAATATATCGGAGCTGGCTACACTAATCGCGAATAAAGTCCATCGATACAAAAAAAAACTTTTACAAGACCGCTAAACATTGATGAAGCGATATTCGATATTTTCTTCTATGAGTTCGATGTAACAAAACGTGTATTAGAACAGTTTAACCGTTATTGTAACCGCAAAGTTAATTTTGCAAAAATATAACAATTTTCAATAAATGTTTTTGGACTCTATTCACCATTACCATTATCAGTTACCATTGTCGACATTTTTCATAATTTATTGTATATAACTGAAAAGTAGCTGAAATCAAATATTTAATAACAGCTCCAATTATTTATGAAAAACATGTAGGAAGATAATGTATATGACTTTAAATCTTAGGAATATGCATAACAAAAATCTTGGGAGCGCTATCTCAAAAAAAAAAAAATAATAATAAAACTTTATTTGCATTTCCAACAACACATTCAAATTATAACTGTTTAAGATTAGATATACTAAAACAAATAAACCAGAAAGCAACAGAAATAAAATTAAAAACAAGAAATATGTCAGGTTGTGTGCCGATGCAATGCAAAAGGGTCAAGGCTCAGAATACGATTTGCCTACAAGGAGAAAAATCTCTGATATTCTGCCATAACCCTGAGGAGCATGAGACGCCAAAGCGCCATATTAAAAAAAAAAACAAAAAATTTAGCATTAGAGAAAAAAAAATACATAAACAGAATATATAAATATACAGTACCGAAATAACAAAAATGTATATAAACATACACCTCTCTTATATTTTGTAACACGAAATAAACAAAAAGGTACGATATTTGAAAATACAGTGGACTTACATTTTTTTTTTTATGGGATAATGGGCAGACGAGCCGACGGATCACCTGATGGCAAGCGATTACCGTCGCCCATGGACACCTGCAACACCAGAGGGGCTACAAGTGCGCTGCCGGCCTTTGAGAAACGAATATGATCATAGGGAGGAGAGGGAAGGGAATAGGGAGAGGTTGGGCCTCCGGTACCCTCACTCACACGACGAAACACAACGCAAGCGTTGCTTCACGTCGGTTTCATATACATATGCATAACTAAAAATGTTTCTATTACATAAAACATAATAATGTAACAAATGAAACTACATATATTTAATGTAACAACTTATAATAATTGAATTCGAGACTAAAACACATTCGAGGTGAAATATTCAACAAGGTATAATAATTATTTAATAATATCAGATATAAACATCTTTTTACACAACTGCCCAAAGGAGTGTTTTATTAGAGATAAAAACTTAAAATGTAAATTTATACTAATGCAGATTATAAATTTACTAGATTTATTCGCTGGATCATAGACTACCAAATTGGAAAACAATAGATAATTATTTCAAGTATGAATTGCATGATTACTTTGATATCATTTTTGTAGGTAGTGTAATAGAATCAATATTGTTTTAATTTTTTTATGAGATATAATATATCAGGATGTGACGGAGATTTCTTTCTCTTCTTCTTCAACAGGAGCTTCTATACTTTTCCCTTTTAAAAGAATTTCCATTGATCTGAAAGAAAGTAAGTTCTGCTAACTTCTGTGTTAAATTATTATTAATTTTATACGTCTTTTTTATTTCTAAAAAAAAAAATACTGTGTAGGAACCAAAATGATATAAACATTTATGGGCGAGACTATTTTTCAGCAGTGGGCGTCTTACGGCTGATGATGAATATAAACATATTCATTGATAAATAATAAAATATTCTTAAAGCTATCGCTTTGACTATGACTTTGTAACATTCGGCAAGCGTTATACATTTTACTTTGATATATGATTATTACGATCCTGGGTTTTATGTTTTATCACTATATCTATAACGGTATTTCCTTACAAAAATATGAGTCCTAAGGAATGATAAGAAATATCAGATCGTATGGAATGATTCAAAGTTTACAATGTTATGAATTCATGCTAAAATGACATGCATTACGTAATAAAGTGCTATAGTTAAGAAGAATAACGACGACACTGCTGGAATGATGCTAACCCAGCAGCACCACCTAAAAATGTTTCTTAATTATCACTAATAATATTTAATCCACGCAAACCCTGAAATATTAAAAAAGTAAGAAGTATAAAACTGACTTTAACTTTGAATTTAAAGTTCTTTTTTATTTTATACTTATTTTTAGTGCTTTCATACATGGGATTTATCTGTGAAACTTACGTAACTTGGGCATTTGTCCCTATGTCGTAACGGAATGATAAATAATGGACTAGATGGATCAAATATGCATTCATTCAAAATGTAAGAGCAGCCCGTCGGACACGTTATAATACTATTAGCAAAATTTACAAATATGTGATTCACTTTGTAGCCAAGACCTAGTAATCATAATGGTTTGATAGGTTTTTAAAAAGAAAATGTTTTTGACAGTACGCTCATTGACGGGAGTGTCGAACCTTAACGATCTGGATAGTCAAACCGCTCAACAGACATAGTCCCAGGTGCTATGCCCGTACGTAGATATAGAGTGGAGACGAATATTATTTTATATACACGAATAGGGATGATTACTAATTTTTGTTTGTTTGTCCGTCAGGTAGAGTGTTAAAAAATATTAAACACATATTTTTTTATTTTTTTCGTAATCATAAAATTACGGCGTTACATTGAGTTGAAATTTCGCATGACGTCACGTTAGAGTACGTTTTCTACTCAACTGTGACGTAGCCCCCCACTCCTCAACTTTAATGCCTGTTATCTAAGCTATTTCTTGTTAATTTGAAGTAAAAAAAAATATGTATCTAATATTTTTCTATTATCTGACTGACGGACTAAATAGAATTGCATTTTTTTTACCTAGTCATCATCCCTATTCCACGAGTGTTGTTACTTGTGATATTACTTACAGCGCTAATACAAATACGATAGCTTGTGTAGTCATCGTGAGATAGAATATGGAGTTGATATATTCTGTATTGATCGTCGCTTTATATAGCTGCGTGTATATGACGGATGCAAACATTGCCACAACGTTCTCCATCACTGACAGAAACGCATACGCCACGCCTACAAATGAAAATATATTATTAATATTAAAAAATATACTAGGTATATAAATAATACATAGATACCAAGGAGTATTGGAACTTGGTCTCCACCACTTTGTATACAAAAAAAATCTGCGATTCATAAACGACGAAGATATATCGGCGACAAATATAAAAAAGCATACGCAATCGAATTCAGAAATTTCCTACTTTTTCGAAGACGGTTAAAAATATAGTTCATCATAGAGAGAGCTTCAACGAAATAAAACTTAATTTGATTTTTGGAGGTATTTATTTCATTGAACTTTTATGCTATGGCAGCGCTGTGCTCGACGTCGAGATCGAGGATATTTCTATAACTTAAAAGCGCTGCAAAACATAAGCTGGAAAGAGACACTGATCTTATAAAATTCATAACAACACTTTAAAATTAAATCATATATACCTCTTTCCGAAGCTGGCAACACCTTTGAAGCCATAGAGCGAATAAGTGGCGCCACACACGGTCCTAAAGCGGCGGCCGTCGCACCAACATACATCAATTTATCAACAGACGCGTGCGCATAGAACAAGTGACCCGAAATATGCGCTGACGCACCTAACATTATTATCACCTGCCGAAAACGAAACATTAATTTTCATTAAATCAAAACCCAGTTGCATAAACTACTATTAAAATAAATTTACAATATTTTCAAATTTAGAACATTAATTAGAACTTAAAGTCGTAATGAAACTTGAATGGACGTTGTGCAACTGGGTGTTAGCGTCATTTTTATGCTTAGAATTTGTAACGCTTATCGATTAGACTCAAAACTACTGTTATTATGGTCAAAAAGTTCATAGACTTAAAATTACTTTATTATATTATTCAGATTATGTTGTACGGGAGTAATCAATTCTTTCTTCGTTTAAATTTGTTATTTAATGTAGGTATAAGTGAAGGTTATTTGATAAGACAATGTTTCCGAACGTATTGTACTAACAAACTGGTAATAAGCGCCATTTTCTTTTCATTCAATAACGAAACCTATTTGAGTAGAAACACGAATTTATTTATAGACAAAATCTAAAATGTCATGTTTCCTAGATTATGCTATCAAAGTTGGCAGCTGACTTTAATGGCATTATCTCAGAAAGATGACGCATAGGATTTTTTTTTTCTAATAAAGATTTTTCCGCTCCCATTTGGTATCAGATCAGATCAGAGATCATTTGTGAAGTCAATATGTTACAGCAAAAGCAATGTTCCGGTTGGAAAGATATAAGGCGAATGTATCAGATCTACCATTATAATTAGGGTTCCACACCAAAAAAATCCCGTAATCGTAAGATCACTCGTGTGTCACTACGTGTGTATTGGTGACTGTTAACTACTGCATATATAGCAGGGATCAGCTTAAAGTGCCTTCTGCGACATGGTGGAGCTTGAAATAATAAATTTTGGTCACTCATCCTATGACAGCACATTGCAAAAGTTGCTTAACTTCCGCATTGCAGACCGAGCACGCTGAGCGCTGCGCCATCGAACGAATAAAACAGTCGTATGAGATTGGTTTAGTTACGAGATCTACCGCATAAATTAATGCTTCGATCTGTAACCTTTTTTTTGTAACCGATTTTGTTTTTCTGTAATACTCGTATCAATCTCGACGCTGCCACAGCATAGAGGTTCAATGAAAAGAAACGTTTATTACAATTCGTATTCGGTTTTATTTCACTGAACTTTTATGTTGCGACAGCGCTTCGATTTCGATGCTGTTTGATTACAGAATAGCTCGTTATCTTGTTTTGTAATATAACATAGCATGCATTAACCATAATGACGCTGGAAAGCAAACACGAAGTAATCCGCAAAATTGTTCTAATTATAACATTTTGATTAATTTTGCATTCACAATGCCATACTGAAAATTATTCTTAATACAAAATGCTTAAAAAATCCACTTGGTCCGTGGAACCCTGAGATTGGAACCGAACCCACGACCTTACGCAATCCGGGCGACCGCTCTAACCACTGAGCTACCCAGGACCTAACAGGACTAACGAATCTTTCAAGCACTTGTTACTTTTCGCTACTACAGAGCGTATTCTCATCAATGTTCAGGCATCCACAAAAATGTTCTTCAGAACAGAAAAGCTTTTTTTTTCAATAAATAATTCCTATAAACGTCCATGGTAACAAATAGGGTGTTGCCTAGTCAATTTATATGGAAATAAGTTTTTTTTTTAATTTAAAGACTTTCTACTTTAAATATCCATTTTGGTTTTGCTGGTTACTACGTGTTTGCTTTCCAGCGTCTGTATAATAATGATAATAAATAATACCTATAATATACTAACAGTGTCACGCCACTTAAATACTTTAGTCATGAGCGGGATGCCAAACAGCATTATTACAACGTAAGCGGTGCTGAGGTAAGTTCTAAAATTACTAAATGCGGTCGCGTCCCATTGGAATACTAGTGATGTGTACAAATACATCACTGGACGTTCATCTGTAACAAATTGTTGTTGAATAACTAAATAATATTAAAATAGACATGGTCTTTTCAGTTTTTTTTTTGCTTTAAAATAAATACAAAATTGAAATTTTCATAACCCCGAAAACGCTGTCTGCCATATTCATGACGTCATGTCAATTAAACAAAAACAATGCCATCTAACGATCTTGATTGAAAATTATACATAAAAAAAGTATGAACAGCGCCAGGGATTAAACTGACAGATCCAGAAGTGTTTCTGCCAATATAACGTCACACAAACGTGTTTCAGCATGCGTAGCATGACGAACTCGAGAACGTTTTGTCTACACTTAAATGTCACTTTTCTCGGGTGCGTCATGCTACACGTGCAGGTCAAGTTATTTACAGTGAATAAGGGCCAGTTTTTTGATCCGTAGTCAAATGTCATTTCACCATTTGTTAACTTGACTATAGTTAAAACAATAACAAGTTGTTAACTCGCTATTTCGTTTTTTGATGCCAAATTTAACCATAGTCAAATTTAACCACTGACCAATTTGTTGCCAGCACAATGAGTCGTTTTTTCGTTATACATTGACATGGGTAATTTTTTTCTGGGTGACAACACTAACGGTTTGAATGAACGGAGCGAACTATATACCATTTTTGACGTTAGGATTTTGTTCTAAATATCAAATAGACGAAAGAAATCTATAGATTATCAAACAATGTGGATGTTTATGGTTGTTCTGTTGTGTGCACTATGTGTTATTTTTCAGGAATAATACATATTAGAAAGCAACAAAGATATGTTTTTTCCAATTATTTTAAACTTAACTTTTTATAAAAAGCATATATATGTTTTTTAATTATCCTATAGAGAAATACGTGAAAAGAATATAGTATCTAGTATCCAAGGTGGGATTGTAATGTTGGAAAATAAATCGAGGACTATGTATTTTATGTACTGTAGGCATATTTACCTTTTGTATTGTCTATTCGTGGAATTTTTAATAATTGAATAATTTGGCATCTGCCCGTGGAAACAAGAAAAATTATTTCTATATAGTACAAATATACTAAGGATGATCAAGATAAAAATATGACTTATTTTCAATAACCCTATAACCAAAAAATGACAATGAATATTTTCCTATGAAATTGCATAATAAAACGAAATCCCAAAATAGCTAATGTCCAAATTCACTATGAAATCATGTAGGTTATAAAAACAACGTAAAAAACAATAACAAGGGACCAAGTAAATACAACGCAGTTGTATTTCTTCTTAACATCTGTTCTTTTAACAATTGGTCATTTACTTAACCTAGCTTCCAGTGATGGTTAAATTTTTTGACAAATGGTTGTAATTCTGACAATTGGTTAGGCTAACTATTAATCAAAAAACATATTTTTCTGATATTTAACCATTTGTCAAAGATTTTAACAAATGGTTGAGTTAACCACGGATCAAAAAACTGGCCCTAAATCGACTTTTAATTTAATTAGAAATAATGTGAATTTATATCTATATTACGAAATAAACATCAAAGATTTTGTGTAATTTCGTAACATTTTCAGTATACCGAAATTACCGTATTTTTGGACACTTATTGATATACCTACATACAATATTTCGGCACTAGATGGCGAGTTATAAAAAAAAAGGCTTACTTTGGTAATTCTAACGCCTTTTTGTCCTGTAATCATAACCTACCTCTTTGGAATGTATAAAACGCCATAGATATCAATAGGAACCACAGAAACAGTCTTCGATTCTCTTCTCTTCGCTTAGTTAATGTAATAATTGTTCTTTTTATATTGCCGAGGTCGAAAAAGTCTGCGACAGAATTTCTAACTCCGGCATCTTTCGGGGATTTCTGTGTGGGACTGGTCTGCCATTCTAGGAATATTAGACAGTGGAGAGTAGCGAGAATCATGAGGCAGGTGTTGATGGCAAACATTGCAGTAAACGACTTGTTCACTACCTTATTATACAACACGTTACCTGGAAACATATCAGTAGTATTGTTTTTCTCATAATACAGTACATAACAATAAACTTTCAGGTGAACCTGATTAGTGTAAAAAAGATTCAAAAAGGGTTAAATATATTTTATTACGATTATTGCTTTAGAATAAAGTTTATGTAAATATTTTTCAACATAATTTCGTTTTCGTCTTGAAAACAATTATTTAAAAATGAAAAAAAAGCGGTAACTTAAAAATATACAAACTCCATGCTACTTGTCAGAGCGGATGTGACAAAAATGTACACGTAAATAGGGATGAACTGATTACTATTTAAATTATGTGTTAAGATTTTCTTTTTATTTCACCAATTTGGTGAAATATATGATTATTAAAAAAGTCTGTTATACTTAATGAATAATTCTTCAAAATTTACTTTGTCCCTGGCATTCTGAGATGGGACTCGGACCCATGACCTATCGCAATCATTTTCAAATATAATATATATTTTCAAATATAATTAGAACAAATTTTCATCTTTGAACTGAACGAAACTAAACAAAGTTTAGGTGGATTGCTTGAACATTTATGAAAATACGCTCTGTAGTAGCAAAAAAGTAGCAACTGCTTAAAATATTCGTCAGTCCTGTTAGGTCCTGGGTAGCTCAGTGGTTAGAGCAATCGCCCGGATTACAAAAGGTGATGGGTTCGAGTCCCATCTAAGAGTGCCAGAGACAAAGTGGATTTTATAAGAGATTAAGGATATTTTCAGTTACCATTCTGTATGCAAAATTGATCAAATATAATAATATGAAAAAACTAAATTAAAAGTACAGAATTGGGAAAGTACGTAATGTAATTTTCAAAACATATATTTTCTGCTTGTGTACTTATTATTATTTACTGCTAATTTGAATCTAGGCAAATGAAGATAAATTGAATAACTTAGGTTTAGGTATACGATGCAAATAGTTATTTTAATTAAAATATTTACATATGAATACTAACACTGATTAGGATCACAAGACAAAGGTAACCGATGACTTATCACATCATAAGATCTGTAAAACCCATAAAACGTTTTGTCATTCGAAGATTAAATAGACAATGAGTAATAAATCCGTTTAAATTGTTATCAACTTTGATAAGATTAAGAGTAAATATATACTTAAAAAATAAGGTTATAATTTAGCTCGATAGCCAAGCAGGCATCTCATGGGACAACACATTTATATTTATTCTCTCTGTGTCTGTGTCCATAGGGAAAGCCTATTGCCTATAATTGGGGATATTAATTACTAATGATAAGCAAATAACGTGCTGTTGACTACAATAATGTAGTTTTTATCTATACTAATATTATAAAGGAGATTTAATTGTTTTTTTGAATCGGGATAGGATACGAAATTACTAGAACTAGACTAGATGAGAAGCAACATTATATCCGGGGACATAGCTATAATTATGCAGAATAAGTAGCGGGAACACAGCTGGTATATCAATTTAACTGGAAGAATAATATTGTCTTTTTCGACATAACATAACGCATAAAAAAGTCAAACTTAGCCTGATGAAAAACTTAAATTTTAATTTTGAAATATAATATGAATCAGTTAATGCATACCGACAGCAACACCAGTGGGTAAACTAGATAGATAAACCACGTCCAAAATTCCCACCCTGAGCGTTCTGTTTTTCAGAGAGGAAACATCCGCTATGTAAGCGAAGCAAGCCGCAAATATGGCCAAGTCAGCACCAGTGAGCGCGCTCGGAAAGGTCGCTGTGTAAATCACGTAATTCAGAGGCCATGCTGGAAAATTTTAAATTCGGTATAGCATGCAACAAGCGACATTACAGAAAATATGAAAGTGTACAAAAAAATTAGTAATTATTGAGACAACTATTTCCAACTGGTGCAGAAACTTGATATTGCGCCCAAACAAAAACATTTTTATATTATCTTATTTATATATGACTAAACTTATTTTAAAAAGAATTTTGTGAAATTGGTTTTTTTTTGTGTATTATTATATTAATATTAATGATTTTAAATCCCCTCTGAGCATCCAGGGCGAGTGCCCCCATTAACCTCCCTTAGATCCGGCCCTAGTCGGCACATCCAAAAAAAAAGGTTAAATCACGTTTAAAAAAATATCCTCGTTTTCTATACCCGAGAAAACATCTTCATAGCTGATGCATTTTCTGAATATCGTATCTATCGTGCATGTCATTTAAATTTTTCAGATCGTTACTTCACATTTAAATTAAAAAGCCTCAGGCTTTCGAATCCAATATTCATTTGGTTAAAATTCACTTGACTACAATGTTTTTAATAATTTTCTATCTATGATTTTAAATAATAAACGGTTCGGTAGGTCGGTTAGTCCAAGAAAGCAGATACAGACCAAACGCCCTTACAACTTCGCCAAACTGTATCATAAAACTCATTTTACATTTTTTTATTCATTAAATTAGTGATGGTTTTAGGCTGAATATGAAAAAAATGGCGCACGCATGAGTGGTTTGAACTTGATTTCCCGCGCTTCCCATACATTTTTCTGCCTATCGTGTTTTTGTATCGAGATTCCAAAAAAATACTTCTTTGTAACCTACATACTTTGTTTAATTTCAATTTTTTTTTCAATTCAATTACACTATGAGTGAAGATAAAGTAGTGTATAAAAATGCATATAACTTATACTCCATTCACTATAATATTAGAAAAAAGAGGGTCAAAGAAGCAGCAGTACAGAACATTTTATTTTCAAGATAAAATTAAAAAATCTATATTAGTTTTGTTGAGACTTTGAACGTTAGGTAGTCTGAAAGAGCTGGGCAATTTTCCATTTTTTATGATACCTCGGGGTTGAGATGAGGCCAGCATTTTATAAATTCGTCTTTTAGTCCCAAGCCAACATGGAACTAAAACTGAAACTATCTGTGTGTTTTGATAAATTCTAATTGTAAGTATAATAAATTAGACTATTGATGAAGACATTGAAAAAACTCCCTGAAATATCAAAGTTTGAGGGTAGGTGTACCGACATCGTACATATTTACCAAAACTTAACAACAAAAATAAAACAATAACATCACGGAAAACGGCTAAACAACAAGAAAAGCAGTAGCATTCACAATGGATGACAATCCCAGATAACGATTTTAACAATTATTAATAAATAATAGTCTGACAAAATTAAAAAGCTGTACTACCGAAACGCTTGAAGGAGTTAGGCAACGTTTTAAATTTGGCAGAGTAATAATAATAATAATAATAATTCATTTATTGCATGTCACATAGTAAAACAGGTGTAATTAATAGGTACAGTTTATGTGACACCCTGTAAGGGTGTAGCAAATTTAAATTAAAATTAGTGAGTTATAGTGACATGAGAATCGTGCCGAAACTATCCAACCCTACTTCTTTAGGTTCTTTACGATGGACACTTTTTATTGTAATACTTATTAAATCATTTAAGTTAGTCATATACTCATAAATTTGTTTAATAGTTAGCTTAAATGACAACAGTTAAGTATATTAGCTGATATTTAAATGAATATGTAGCAAATTAGATGTCAGTCTTAAAAGTAACATGATTATTGATATTTTGTCACAAAGTATACCATAAAAAGAACCTTATTTCACTTCTGTCTAATGCTATAATGAATGGAGTATAGGTATTAAAACACTCGAGTCAACCTATCATCGCATTAAGCATCAAGATAGGCTAACAGTCTGTGATTTTCCATACCTTTGATTGTATTTAAAGTTATCATCGCCGAAAAGTAGAGCTTGCCCACTAGACCAGCGAGAAGAATAAATTTTCTTCCTCGTTTATCACTGTACGAGCCCAAGAAGAATGCTAAGAGAAGAGGCACTATGTGGCTGGCTATCCCATTCCACTGATGGAAAGTAGAAGTTGTTACCTGCAATAATTATTTTAAATTTGTACGGTAACCACATCTGCTAAAAAAAAGTTTTAACAGTATACGATATTAGCTCATGATACTGAAGGACTGAAGATTATCTTCAGAACTGTCCTCAAGGGTGCATAACGTTGCATTGGGTCGTGAAAAAAGTTAGCATTGAAATGTTATGTAAAATAAAGAGATATATTTTATGTACAAACAGAAGATAAGTATCCTAACGGCAATGTTCTTTTAAATAAATACCAACCGTGTCATAGAATAGGTCTTTTAGTCTGCCCATTGCTTGTTTAGATAGTTAAAAGCAGAGTGTTGGAAAAAAATCAATGGCTCGATAAGTAACATCAATTGACCGTGAATCATAATAAGCCTATTTATTGATAAAATACTCAAATATTAAAATTAAAATTGTCTACAATTTACAATATATCTTTTAAGTATTTATTATCGCAGCTGTTTCAGGAGACCTCGCTCTTCCTTTTAAAATAACATAGGTTGATAATTTTTACAATATTGTTTAGCATTATCCTAGTTTTATTAAATTTTAAGAAAAAATAAAATGAAGTATGAGATATATTATGAATTTTGTTTTGTGTGTGTGTGTGTGTATTGTATTCGTGCGTTGTATACTAAATAATTATTTTATAAGATTTTCAATTTCATGATAATCCTTGCTTTTAAGCTATTCAACTTTCTTTAGTGGTCGTCCAGCGGCTGTTTTACGGATATATTTGTAACTACATTTATATTTCTCCTTCTATTTTCAGATACTGGGTTGTATAGAAGGGTCTTATGTTTTGGGTATAAGGGGACAAAAAGAATATAGATCTAAAGTTGGAAATCTATAAGAATTAAAGTATATTACTTTGTGCCCTCTCTAAATCCAATAAATTTGTTTTTGTTGCACCTGTATATATACTAACTAGCTTTCGCTTGGTTGCCCCGGGCTGCGAGCAGCCCGGGGAGGTCACGAGTAGCTGGTGGAATCGGGGCGGTGGGGTTTCAAGTCCGTCTATTGTTATGTCGGGTTTACAGTTTGAAATTGCGTAGAAAAGGTCAGTACGTTCTATCTTCAAATAAAAGGTGTTAAAGGACACAAAGCACCATACATCAAAGAAAAAGTGTTGCCAGTTGACACTTAATAGAAAAAGAAATATTCAGTCGAAAAACGCAAGCAAAACATAAAATAAATTTTGTATATATACTTAAAATAAGATTTTTCTTTTATTCTCTTATTATTATTTATTAGTAAATTACTGTATAATATTAAAAAACAATCGAACATATATTTCCACCAGTGTTATTATCATTAATTAATCAATTAAATGTCAAGAAATAGTATTTATTGTATTTGCATTATTATATTACATTATTTATGTAAGATTTATTTATTATACGAAAAGCGACGACGACGCGATGGGGTTTTAAGTCCGCCTTCGTTTCAGAATAGAAGCTTTCGCTTGGTTGCCCCGGGATGCTCGCAGCCCGGGGAGGTCACGAGTAGCCAGTGGAATTGGGGCGGTGGGGTTTTAAGTCCGCCTTCGTTGTGGAATATGTGTTTTTCAACTTTTATTTGTTAAGTTTGGTTTATAGTTTGAAAACACCCACAAAAAGTTAGTTAGTTCTGTTTTAAAATGAAAGGTGTTTAAGTACACAAAGCACCATACATCCAAGAAAAAGGGTTGATAGTTTACACGCAATAGAAAAATAAATATTCAGTCGAAAAACGCAATCAAAACTCTAAATGAATTATAGTCTCTTATTCTTATTCAATAGTAAGTTTACATTTAGTGTGAAAAAGTATCGAGTAGATATTTCCCCCAGTGTTACCTTAAATAATACACCAAATAAATAAATGTCAAATTTCAAACTCATACCTACGTAGAACACTTTCATTTTGAATATCAAAAGAACATGTTTTCTCAAAAATCTAAAAGTATAGAAAAATATATTTTAAGTATTAAACATCGTGTCAAAAATTGGATTTTCTTTTCTCCATACTTACCTATGTGAAAGTGTGGGTAAAGATACCTACACAAATGGTCCATATATACACGCTATAAAGATCCCGAATTGTCAAGTCCATCGAAATCAAAATTGAAATTAAAATGGTTTCGATCATCTTTTAAACATTATAAACCAAATGTTACCATCAACAAAAGCGATTCGTTTCTGGCACTTCGCCGGCCGCTGCCGCGGCACGCTCGCTACGCTCGCTCGGCTCGTGCGTTGTTTTTCATACACTAACCTGACCTAACCCATATGGCTTTACTTATTGTAAAGTTCTTGAGCATAAACGAGTCGCTTGTGGAATCGGAGCGGTGGAATTTTAGGTCCGCCTCTTGTTATGTTTACAGTTTGAAATTGCCTAGAAAAAGTTAGTGAGTTCTATCTTCAAATGAATTATGTTTAAGTACACAAAGCACCATACGTCAAAGAAAAAGGGTTGCCGGTTTACATTAAATAGAAAAATAAACATTCAGTTGAAAAACGCAAGCAAAACTAAAATAAACTTTGGAATAGATCGACTTGTAGTCATTTATTGTCTTATTCTTATTCAAAAGTAAGTTAATATTTAGTTAATACAGATATTTGAGTTTTAAGACCACCTTTTGTTATGTTGGGTTTACAGTATAAAATTGCCTAGAAAAAGTTAGTAAGTTCTATCTTCAAATAAAAGATCTTTAATTACGCAAAACATCATACATAAAAAAAAAGATTGCCAATTTACACGCAACATAAAAAGAAATATTCAGTTGAAAAACGTAAGAAAACTTAAAATAAAGGTTGTATACATCGCCTTGTAGTCTTTTATTCTTATTCAATAGAAAATTTCCTAAAAATCACAATATAAAAAAAAACTGTTTTTATCATCCGGCAATACTTCAACTGAATACATTTTTTTTCTGTAAGTAATCTGAAAAATGTTATCAATAACGCCAAAATCTGCTCTATAAAGTAAAAACCGTGAAAAATGATACATTTTCTAGCACACTTATAAGCACATTTGGTCACAGTTCCTTAACCGATTGACCAGGTCTCCATTTATTATGGCTCGCTTCGCTCGCTTTTTCCTTTTGTTTTTTTCGCAGATCTAATCTAACCGATTGACCAGGTCTCTATTGATGGTGTCCTTTATGGCTCGCTTCGCTCGCATTTTATTTTAGTCGTAGTTCTAATCCTACCAATTAACCATATCTCTCTTAACAGTTACTCCTTATGGCTCGCTTCGCTCGCTTTTTGTTTTAGACACGTTGCTAACATAATCGATGGTCTCTCTTAATGGTCTAGCATTATGGCTTGCTTCGCTCGCTCTTTATTTTGGTCACAGCACTTTAAGCAATTGACCAGGTCTCCATTTTTGATGGCTCGCATCGCTCGCTTTTTGTTTTAGACACCTTGCTAACATAATCGATTGATCAGGTCTCTCTTAATGGTCTAGCATTATGGCTCGCTTCGCTCGCTCTTTATTTTGGTCACAGCACTTTAAGCAATTGACCAGGTCTCCATTTATTATGGCTCGCTTCGCTCGCCTTTTGTTTTATTCACAGTTATAATCTAACTGATTGATCAGATTTCTATTGATGGTGTTCTTAAGGGCTCGCTTCGCTCGCATTTTATTTTAGTCACAGTTCTAACCTTACCAATTAATCAAATCTCTCTAAATGGTCACCCTTTATGGCTCGCTTCGCTCGCTTTTTGTTTTAGTCACAGTTCTAATCTAACCGAATGACAATGTCTCGCTCGCTTTATTTTTCTGGCTAAAATAGTGGAAATTTTTTCTCACCACGTAAAGATTGGGTAAAGATACACAAACGGTCTATATATGCTATAAAGTTCCCGAGTCGCCAACTCGGTCAGAATCATCCTGAAATTTATATGGTGACTACTATCAGTGTTGCTAGTCGATCACTCAAATTATTCCAACAATTATGTTATAAATGCAACAGTAAAATTTTTGTTAAACCGTAAAATCATTGTAAAGAAATGTTTTCATATTTTTCATAAATGACATACATGAAAGTTTCTCAAAAACCTCGGTATCAAAAATTTTTTTTTTCATCTGGCAACACGCTTATGTTTTTTTAAGTAATCTGAAAAATGTTATCATATGCGCAAAAATCAGTTCTATAAAGTAAAAGTCGTGAAAAATGATCAATTTTGTAGATAAAATGGCCACAGTTTAAGCCGCCATCTTGAATTTTGAAATTTCATCCTTAGACCTATGTAGCCCACCTATTGGCGCATCCAACGCAGTTTTTGTTATTTTCCTAGCGGCTATAATGACTGCGCTAGAGTCCAAAACGTGAATAGTGGGCATTAAATCTTCAACCCGCTATAGCTGCCGGGGTTGCCAGGTGTAGGCGATGAAAACAGTCAAATGTGATTTCGGGATGCGCCCTCCATCGACGGATACCAATTTTGAAGTTCTAAAATTGTTCCTTTGACAGTTACAGTTTTTGGGGTAAATCTCAAAAACTACCCTAAAATCGGGTAAAATTTTTCATGATACGAAAGAGTCTAAAGAGATGCACAATCGCTTCATACATGCCAAATACCTGCCGGGTTGCCAAGTCGGTCAAAATCGAGGTTAAATTTCAAACGTTGTTTGCTCTCAGTGTTGCCAGTCGATCGTTCTATTTTTTCCATCAGGTATCTTAAAAAAGCAAAATTATAATATTTGCATTTAAAAAAATTCATATTTCGACAAAAAGTATTTCCTCAAAAATCTCATAAAGTATCGAAAATTTTCAAGTTTTTTTTTCGCCTGGTAACACTTTAGCTACGTGCCTAAAAAATGTTTCCCCGAAAGTACTCTGACAAATGTCGGCGAGTGTGTCAAAATCGGTTCGACGTGGTGACGCTACCCAATTTTCCCGATAAAACGACAGCTGGTTTGGCCGCCATCTTGAATTTTGAAAATCCGGCTCCGTACCGGTGTGGCCAATTCGATAGCGCATCCGATGCACTTTTTACCATTTTCCTAGTGGCAATACCGA